GCTTTCCATGCACTGTGATTTTTAAATTGTTCAAATAATGACGTATAGTTGTTGTTAGGCGTCTATAGTCATTTCATGTACCTCATTTAAACAGTTCCGAGCAAAAATATTTACAATCTTATGCTTACCTGCTCCCAATCGTTTCCGCCCGGTTACCATGTTTCACCCCCGAACCCTTCATATTGTTACCCATCAGCCATCCAATAAACCATTCATTTAAGAAAGGCATGTCAACCTCTTTGGCAAGAAAACTACGAGTATTTAATTACAGTTCACGGACACAGACGCATAACCACTAACCAAATGTACTGAACCACACGATGGTTCAACTAATATTCGTTTCTCAATATCGAGTTTTATCATCTGAACGAACAACTAAAAACTAAAAGATTTTTAATTTTAGAAGAGAGGGTGTGGAGACACTTTGTGTACATGGAGAGAGTATTTCAAAAGGAGAGTTACTTCCCCAATCCTTAGAAAAAATATACATTATTATTTTCTGCATTATTTTCTGTCGGCTCACTAACCTATACTTATCAGATGTTGCAACTTTTTATTTAGTGTCTATTGCACTGATTTAAAAACGTAACCTGAAAAGCAATCTTAAACAACAAAGTTGAATTGAAAATATTTGAAAAATAATCGTGTATTTTAATTAACTTACATAAAATATATTTTAATCGCAGTGGAAAACAATATTTCTACCCTTTTGACATTATTAGTCACAAAAAATCACCTTCTTGGGTCCAAATTAGATTTTTCACGTGAATTGTAAATATTATAAAACATTATCACATTATATTTTCTTAAAATGTTCAACGTTTTTTCAGCCTGCAGGAATTTCGTTGAGTTCACTAACTCTCATTCGTCATCCGACGGCGGCGATGGTGGTGGTTTACAGGTTTGTTCACATTCTTCTTGAGATTCGAAGCTGAAACAGAAGAAACACAGTCTAGGTACAGACTAGGAAGCGTAAAACTTTTATCGCACCTCTAATGTAATTCAATAATTATGGGCGTGTATATGTATTTAGTATATTACGTTCCGGTTAATACGACTTTTTTACCAGCTAGCGGTGTTCCCAAGCCTTGGTATTATCAAAGCCTGAGGGCAAGACTTGTGCCAAGCATCACCAACCAGGCTTTCATCGTGTAGAGCATACTTGGCTTGCGAGTGTTTTCCTTTAAACACACATCGATTGAAACTGAGGCGATTGTGATGGAAAGATACAACTCTTTATTGCCCCGATCGGAAATCGAACCTGGGATCATACTACGAAAAGCTAGCACGCTGTTCATGAGCTATCCGAATTATTGTCAGTAAAATAAATATATTATAAACATATAGTACCAATGGATCTATTGATTTACGTCAAAACCAGTTAAAAACTGTGTGTGACGTGCTATGGAGAGATGTTAAATTAAAGTAACATTTATGTCCAGAAGCAAAACAAGGGGCCATCACAGCATTTGGGACTTTACTTGGGACTTAAACTTTTGTATCAAATTTAATCATTTAATGTCATCTGGCAAGGAGTTGTACAATAATGTACATGTTTTGGGTCATCTGGCAAGGAGTTGTACAATAACGTACAAGTTTTTTGTGTGATATTTTGTAACGAGCTGCTGATACTGTCACCTGATGAATATGATTACAAAATTGAGTGTTGTAGTTATAGATATCAACGTTGATGAAAATATATTCCCGCTCCTAAGTAAGTCGTTTTAAACAAAAAACACTGATTCATATATCAAGAGACAACGTAATGATAAGATACCTAGATTAATAAAAACTGGCTTACAAGATTCACGTGGGTGGAACTTGCTTTTATTTTTATCATTTTTGAACGTACACATTTTTTAATTATATAATTTTTGGCTTCAATATAACGGGGGGGGGGTCACGGTATAAAATTGGTAAATATTAAGGCTTTTTTTTTGAAATAGCGTGTGGAAAGTCTTTACAAAAAATGCTATCCTTTAAGAGGTTCTAACCTCTAACCTCTGAACTCTTCTCCTTATCACGCAACGTCATCATTGAATACAACTGGGCCGATGGCCGTTTTTGCTTTTTCGATTTCTTCGAATGTATTTAGAGACAACTAATTCCACATGCCGTTGAATTGAAAGCGTTTCCAACCATATACCTTTGCTTTGTTAATTATATGATATTTAGAAAGCTTAGAACAGTGTTATTCAGTGTTGTTTTGCATGGCACTTTGACATCCAAGTTTCAGATATATCAAGTACTAAAGAAATACACCTGACTAAGGTGTATTTTGTTGGAAATTTTTGTTACAAAAGATTATATTAAAAATGAGTCTCATCGGCATTCGCAAGTTCATTCTATTTCAAGAAAACCATTATGTTAGTGTTGTGAATAAAAACACTGGAAAGTTTATTTCAACATTTTAAATAATGGTGGCGATGGTAAGTGATGTCGTCTTTGTGAGTGAACATATCATGTAATGAGTAATGCAATTATAATCGGCATATTACTTTAAATTCGAAGTTTTCGTGTTCGCCATCAATATTTTTTCAATACATTACTTTTTGTTCTTTTTTCATTTGAGAAATAGTATTGAGGGTCAGATTCTTGAATTCACAATTTCTGAGGATATAATATTCATGCATTTAAATTTGCAGAAAGTATGACTAGAAGGTCTGAAAAATCAGTATCCGTATTTTCGTTTTGTAAGGTTAAACAGTATCATCCAGTCTTAAAGTCAGACTTCTTAACCGCAAGGTACTATATTAAATCATGTTGTCAACCCATTGTAACTTCAGGAATTTTGAGAAACCCAATAATATGTAAAGCAATGAAAAGTGGTTACCCAAAACAATATGTGACAAATCTTTAATCAATAACAGAATAATGTGGCACCACCTAGGATAAAAATAGTACAGAAATTTAGCAAAGAAGGTAACTGTTGCACGGTCTATAATGGCCTATATTTCACGAGATCATCGCTGATAGAAAATGACTTGGGATCTACAGTTGTTGTTGTTGCACGATTTTCGAACTGAATCCTTTCACAAACATCTCACTTTAAATAGGAGCTAAATGACGAATAATGGTACCCACAAAGCAGGGACTGCCACAATTAAAAACTAGACATTTTTCCTGCCAAGTAATAGAAAACGTATTTACATTGGCACATTACAAGTACAGAATTCATTGTATAGGATAGCTAGCAAAATAACAACCATTCTCCTCTACTCGAAGCTTTGTGCCTACACTACTTACAACACAACGAGTTCACAAAACGAGATAATAGTTTAGCTATCACCACAAGCAAAACTCGCTCGTGGTGGTGGCTCAGGGTATCAATTGATGACATTTCAGTGCCTCTGACCGGTCTTCGGGTTCGAGTACTGTCGGTGGTAGGGTGTTCGACAGTAGCTACGTAGCTAGGTCGAGTTCAGTCGCTCGAGGAGAATTCTACTGGCTAACTGCTCGGGTGGGTAGTTGCACAAACGGACCATGGACCGCGCTCGATCTTTCCTTCCCCTTCCTTCTCCTATTCTCATCCCTTACATGCACACACTTATAATTACATGCACTACACTACCACATATGTTTGGAGACCAGTCAAGAGCTTAGAGCTTGTCCCGGCTGGGGCGGTGCTCCGCTGATGGGAGATACCTGGTTGGGAAAACTCCGCTTGCCGATGTTTAATTCAGCGTTGGTTCTAATCATCGCGCTGGGGAAGATCACTGCCCCGTCTCGCGATAAAAACATGCAATTTACTTACGAGACTAATGATCTCGGAAATTGATGGGCCCGGAAACTAATAAATCCAAGAGCAAAAAGAAAACCGAAACGCCGAAAAAAGTGATCGAGATTGGTTTCTTCAGGACCTGCGAGGGAAATCGGGCTAAATGAAATCTTGCCGGGGTTCGGATCCGGCCCGAGGACTGTTCATCAGACACTTGTGATGAAGGCAAGTCACCAACTCTGAGTGAGTGAGCGTTGCTTCGAATGACCACTTCAGGTCGCATTGGGGAAAAACAAAATTTCCCTGAAAGAACGCTTTCCGAAACGCGCCATCAGTATCTCTAGAAAGTAAAAGGTGGAACATGAAACAAGTCTTATTGGTGTCATGATGTCAGAAGTAGTGAAGGAGATCGAAAATAGTTTGTTTCCTTCCCTCAAACGAGACGTAAATTAACGAATTCGAATATTTAGTAAGTGTATGGAACTTGAATTCACAAGAAAGTGCGAGTATACGTACTTGTTAAAGTTTGCGTCACAACCTCCGAAGACGAACTGTTCGCATTGGTCTGAAGAAACTTTGTATGCGTAGCGGTAGATAAGTGCCTCGCAAACACCAGTTTCTGCAGGTTGAAGGCAGCCTTCAGGACGCGTCCACTCCTCAGACGCGGAGGTGACGCAAACTGAAAAAACAGTGGTTTGTAATATATTTTTATTTTCTTTACATTGCGTTTACATGAATTTTGGAGGGCGAATACTAATCGTTTTTACTACGAGTATCTTTGCGTATTTAACAATATACAGGCTTTTTACTATTATCGTAACTCTGAACAAAATGGATACAACACACATAACACTGTATGTATTATCATAAGTCACTGTCTGGAATTAAAAAGTTGTCAGGGCCTAAAAAAATATGTTATGCTTCCCTACAACCACTTTGCACTAAAACTTTTCATTTTAGGTCGCTAAAACTATTTTATTTTAGGAGAGTTCACTTATATCAATTATGCCAGGATCTTGAAAGTTCCGGGCCACACAACATTTGAACGTTTTCTAACATATACTATTTCCAAGGTATCATTTAAAAATATGTTTCCTTTAACGTACATTTTAAACAATGTACTATCTGTCTCAAAAATTTCATTATGAACCTATTCTTCTCTTTAACACAAAATGAGCGTTAAGGTAATTACTTTACGTATAACGATTAACTTTGTTTAGTTTAATAATCGATAATAATCGAAATTAACAGTTTTTATTTATGTGGTATATATTGGAAACATTTGTAAGTGGAGTTTAAAAAGAGCCTCGAAGATATATTGATACAAATTGCCAACTATTATTTAAGAAAAACAACTTTAAAGGAGAAAGCCATTCCTAGTGTTGAATGCAAATAACGTATACTGTGATACAATGGGGTAATTTTGAGGGAAGAGGTTTAGGGATAAAGTGTTTTACTTTTAATGGGGTACGAGGTCACGAAATGGTTTTATTTAATATCAACAAATACGAGGAGCCAGGAAGACTGGAAGCGTAGGTACTTAAACCTAAAAAAATAAGTTGGATCTTCAGTATTGATTTGTTTTCTATAGTATAGCACGTATATTATCTCTACAATTCTGGTGACATCTGAAAGGGGTCCCAGTTTTCAATTACTGAATTTCCTAAATGTTGTAACATTTTCCTTTATGCTTAACTATGGGACCTCGGCAAAAACAGCGTTGCCGCACTCTACTGCCTCACACATGCTCACAACTTTATCTTTCGCTGGCAATCTCAAGAAGGGGGGAATCAGTATTATACTTTTGATAACTTTAAGGCTGATACCTATACAAGATAATTTTAATGTTGTGATATTTATTAAACATTAGATGACATACACCTGTTACAGAATGGCTTTGCTTGTTGAACGTTCTAACCCCTTCATTTATTCTTTCCAAATTGGTGGCAGAATGGGGGAGATTATGACACTGGAAAAGTTGCTACTATTATGAGTCACTATGAAACCACTGCCGGTGTCAACACGTGCCTCTCAAATGACAAGCTCAAAGGAGTTTGGTGCAACTTATCTCTGGCGCAGCGTCACGGGTCTATTGCATCCATTAGGCAAATGATATAATTCTTTGAGAAAATATAAAATGTTTACTAACCCTCCACTACAGAACACGCCCGAAATAAGAGGACAATCACCTATTTTCTCACCATACATTGGATGTAGATATGCCAGCCGGGACAGCAATTTTATTCTTTACAAGTAAGTTTAAGAAATCGATGGGCCAAAAACAAAATAAAGTATGCCTCAATGTAATATCACAATTTTAGCGATTTGAAAAAATAATTGTTTTTGCTATTAAACATGAATGCCACAATTTGACGTTCAACATTTTTCTGATTATGTCACTTGCTGAATGGTATTGTTATTATTATTATATATTAATATTATTGTAGATAATAATAATAATAATAATAATAATAATAATAATAATAATAATTATAATAATAATAAATACAAGTCTTATCATCCTTATACAAATGTTAAGACTTATTCAAGATATTTCAAGAACGTCTAAAATATCTTTTAAACTCTTGAAGTTTAATAATCAGAAGTAATATATTTGCAAGACATTGTACATCCTCTCCGATTCCCCTTCCACAGACAACACCAATCTCATCGTTCATGACATTGTGAAAGTAATCACATTATCAGAATACGAGAAAGCGAAAACGTTTCCATTTTCGGTTTCTCATTCACGACAATATAAATAACAAATCATTTATTACCATACTCTTAAAACGTTTATTACCAAACCGTTAAAACTGCCATTCTATGTTGCGCCAGAGATAACGTTGTTTTGCTGTTGACTTCTTGGTAGGACGTAAAGAATAAAATGACCTAATCACTTCACAAGTAGTTCCAACAGCTTAGAAAACAAAAGACTGAGCAGGTTTTACGCGCACGGCTTCTTCGTGCTCATTGTGAGCGCTATCTACATGGCGGGGGGCCGGAGGGGGGGGTAGCGCTACGAAGGCCTCAAGTGCGCCCTCTGCCACTCACCCAAGGCGACGGCAATGACGATGGCGGCGGCGGCGGCGGGGGCCAGGCGGCTCATGGCTGCGGCGCGGCGAAGCTGGCTGGCGTCTGCTCGCTGTGCGGCGCTGCGGCCCCAACGCGGCGGCGTGTTGCCGCGCCGAGCGTTATGTAATCTCTATGCGCGGTTTACACCCGCCGCGAGGATGGACGCGCCCGGCCACGTGCTGGTTTGCTTCCGCGCGCGCGGGAATTTAGGGCAGCAGATTTTGGGAGGTTTCAAAAATAAATTTCTTACTTCGGTGGGTGTCATGGTGAAGAGTGTCATGGGTGTTATTTTGTCACCATGTTGATGGCTTAGTGCACGTTCAAAATTCTGAATTTTCAGAAAAACAGACTTCGAAAAAGTTTTTAAAGGTGTAAAAACTACCTCCTGAGCTGTATATAATTTACCTTTTACCTTACAGGTACACGATCATGTAAATTTTTTTAACATTTTAGTAGTATTCGAGCAATTTTGAGTGAAATATTAGCAATATTAAATTATTAAAAATCTAGATTTTTCAAAAATATATCAATTTTTTTAACACATTTTTTCAGGGATAGTGCTAAATGCATTACTACAGGTGACATAAATGTCATTTTCCCTTTATTCTTTGTCACTAGTGAGTGTGTTTTTTTTAAATGCACAAGTGTAATTTTTGTGAAATCTCTCTCGTCAATATTTACATTACCGGTGATTTGTATACATTGTTGTATTTCTAAGTACAAGGGTTTTAAATTATGTATGATGTTTCTCAAAACCCAAGTTTTTTGTTTGAACGTTTTGAGAAAGGTTCAATCGCTATTTTTTTAATAAAAGGCTTAACATTATTTTTTTAATTTTGAACTTATAGAAAGTGGTAAATCCACTGTCTAAGATAACATAAACACCATGTTGCTGTATTCTTTTCTTGCTTGTTTAAAAATTACACAAATGAATTTTTGTGGAGTAATTTTCAGGTGATTAGTACTCATATTACCTGCATGTCCTAATCATCATTGCATTTGTGAGTGCAATTGCTTTTAATAATTTCTTATGAAGTTTCTCGAAACTCAAAAGTTTTGGATGAAAATGAACTTCAAAATACGTCTTTTCAGAAACGCTGAAACAACTTTTTCTCCGAAACGACTGCACGTTTTTCCACAAAAAAAAATAGTATACATGATCAGATTTTACCCTTCTGTCATATTATTTCAATCGTATTCCAATTCCACCACGAGGGAACAAAAAATTGAAAAAGCGTGAAAAATGCCCTTTAGATGCCAATAGATAGTAAGTTCAGGCTGGTTTGAGGGAAAACCGAAAAGATAGCACGAACTAAAGAAATTAAGAAACTAGTCTGAGAAAGTCAGCGCTTTTCTGTAGCACCACTAGTTTAATCATCCTTTGTTATATCCGACGAAAACATTAAATCAAAAAAGTTGGAGGCATTTTTGAGAAAATTTTGAAAATGTTAAGTCTTCATGTAAAGTACACTCAAAAATGCGTAGCAAAGTCTTAGGGCTTTCAGTTCGGCCAGGTTCAAGAATGAACGCCAATTTGGAGAAAATCTTCAGAATGGTTTAGGCTCTAGCGTTAATCACTGATAGAATGACTGACAGAATACATTTTGCCGTAAATCAATTTCTCAGTATAAAGGAAAATATGAATTCAGAGCACACACAGTGTTAGAGGAAGTAGTTTACTTGATACGGGATAGAGTGTCTAAGATTTATACACTTTTTCGACATGAGGGTTCCTTAAGAGGAGTTTTTCTGTCAGAAATTGCCGTTTTTTTGCAGCAGCATAATAATACTTTCTGCATACAAAATATTTAGTTATTTTCAATTATTAAGTTAATGTTCAACTATTCATTTGTAGTTATAGGCTTACAATCTTATTTAATCTAATTTACAACTAACACTAAACTATATTTGACAAGAGAACTTACAAACCTTATTTTAATTAAGCTTTTGGGCAGTGTACTGGATGCGTTTTTACGTAGTGAGGTAGGATTTGGGGGTTTTATGTGTTTTGAGAGTATTTGTTATTAGATTATTTAAGATTATTGCCTGATCTATTATGATGTGAGAAAAATGGAAACGTGGGCGTACCGATCGCATCATCAAGTGATTCAGTTCCTTCCAGGAAAAGAAGATTACCGATTTTCAAGCTCCTCTAAGTGAAAATTAACTGCAACATAAACATTTCATATACATCATGGTTAGCCAGTGCAAATAACGTTTTCATTTCGACAACTTGTGTTTCAAATAATAGTTGTTCAGTTCTGCTGTAAGTATAAAATCCTTTCTTTACACTTACAAATAGCATTTTATTTATTTTTGGTTATTTTTTCATCCATCTGAATTTTGTTCGGATCCGATATTTCGGATTTGGGGTTCGGATAGCCTGCTCTACTGTATTAAGAACTGGTGCGGGCGAGGATGGGAGAAGGTATGATCTAGTGATTATAATGTATGAGGAATGTGGTTCGAGTCGAGCTCGATGTCAGGACTTTATATCTTGGTTCCAGATATATCTGTATTCCGATTAACCAAATTATCGGGCAACTGTTTGGTCACGAGGACTGATAGGTGCTTCAGAGCGATAAATTAAATAAAATAATTAAAGACATCATTGCCAACAATATTATTTAATGCAATAGAAGCTTTCGATGGCTTAGCACATCCCAGTTGTCCTGCTGATGGAGCCCACAAACGACTACGATGAGGTAGTCATTTTTGTGGGCTTCCATCCAAGCGAACAACTGATGATGATGGCTAAGCCCATCCGAAAAGCTGCTATTTGCATATAAATATATTGTTGGCAATGACAACGTCTTTAATTATTTTATGAAAAATGCCAAAGATATCACACCACAACGCGATAAATTAATCTCAATCGTTAGTACGTAAACAATTGAGTAGTTGAGATTCAGCGGCGTTGGAGACGCTACACGCCCAGGAAACGTGTTTACCATTCAGGTCATCTAAGAACGTAGTGAGTGACTGGGCTGTGATTAAACTACTTAAACTGGCCAACTTTGACTTAGATTGGCTGGTTTGAAAGCTACAATTATAGTTAGACTTATGCAGGCAAGGCTACTGCTGATAGTTGAAGGCCAGATGAACCTTGGGTTTATTTGGTAATATGAGATGGTGATTATGATTAATATGAAAATGACGCCGCCTGATGAGTGTATACTGTCTAGTTTTACTATGTTGTATCCTGGGAATGAAACGACGACGGTTTTAAGTGCAATTAAGTGATGAAATGTCAATTTTGTTTGATTATAAAAATATGAAAGTTCTACTTTTTGTCATTACTGATGCTATATGCATTCCAATTTATTAGTGTTAATGAGTAGTTAAATTCAGAGTAAGCCATGGGGGGTGCTAATATGATATTTGGATATTTCTATATTTGTATATTGTTGAATATTTTCAACAGTGGCTGGTATAATAGTGTATAATATTAATTGTGAGGTTATAGAGTTAATGATATTGTGGGCGAATGGAGAATTTAAGAACCTTCGAGTCGATGAAAGAACTTAAGAGTTTGGGGGCGAGTTATTTATGAGGAGATTATTTGGGAGTTGTTAGCTGGTTGGTTTCGGGTGACGTTGTTTTCTGTTCTTCTTAGTTACTGATACATGGTGAAGTTTGGTATATGGGTCGTGTTACGTAAACTGGAAAAATGGTGAGTGGTATTAGGGGGAGAATATTGATGGTTAATTCTCAACTTTGATGATGTTTGATAGACATATTTTATTTATTTACTTACATAAAAAATTAGTTTTCTGATGTTCGCGTCTCAGCTCTGAAGACCAATCGCCATTTTTGCATTTTGGACGCGCATGGGACTGAATGATACTTCTCTGAACAATAAATACAAGAAATTAGATGGTTGCAATTGTTTTTCGAATGTCCGAAACCGGACAAACAGCGGAGGCCCTGTATTATTCCTTTTAAATTTTCTTTCAACCCCCATTTCGTGCTCAGTTGGATAGACCTGGCCAAGGGCACTTGCAATGCACTAGCTTATGTCTGCGATGTTGGTTGAATATGTTACACTAATTTCTTAAGGTAACTTTTAGTGCAGCACTTAAACATTCACTGGAACACAAAACACAGGTACGAGCCAAGCGGCTGCGCAGCGCGCGGAAGTCCATGTTGCTGGCAGCGGGATAGTAAATAGTAATACGTGAGAGAGTGATATGTAAGAAAAAGACATGGAATTCATGATGAAAAAATATTATTTATTATTAAGCTTTCATTAATATTTATCAAGTATTTTAGATTTTTAATGTGAGCTTTATTATATTGAGTGAGAATATTATCTCCGAAGTTACCTCGTATGTACACATTTAATAAATTTAAACTTTACATTTTCAGAAGATTATTAAAAGAAGATTAAGAAATAATTAAAATAGACAGTACATAGAAATGCTTAAGTTGTGATCTTTATAGTTCAATCCCTTAATATTCGTAGTCAATATCTATACACCTTTCTTCACATGCTTCCTTTGTCTTGAAACTGAAAGAAAATTGACAATTTTAGACACAAAAAATTCTAAAACTGTAATCAGAGATAATAGATTTAACTCGCAGAAATGCTTTTAGTTTAAAAAAATCTTTATTCTGATTATATTCAATAGTTGTAGGACCTATTGATTTTGCAACTCGCTTTGAACTAACCGACAGAAGGTGATAACACAACAGGAAAAATAATTTAACCGTTTAAATGTATTCCGAAAGAATTACTAAACTGATTTATTTAAAAGACTTTCTCAAATAAGCGATATTTCTCTTATTAAACAACTATTTCATGAAAATTGCCTTTTCTGCACTCTATTTATATAAAAATCATCATTTATCACAGGAGTTATTGAATGATATTTGTATATCTAGTAGTTAATCAAGTAGAAAATTGCTTAAAAAGACGTTGAGCTTGAATAGTGTCCACGACGAACTAGAGAACTATGTAGAGAATCAAATACCTGACCACAAATACCAGATTCATATGAAGACAATTATCACTTGAAAAACGACGAACTTCAACATTGAATTTTAAAATATAATATTAAGGAAAGTAAATTAAATTATGATACCAAAACGTAGGAATTGTGTTCAATTTAGGAATGTGATTTTTACGTACTTGTTCAAATTTGGCTGGCATCCTCCAAAAGAAAACATTTCACATGTACCAGACGATTGAAAATATGCATATCGTCTGATAAGTGCCTTGCATGGCCCGATTTTCAGCGGCAAGAAACATTCTTTTGGCTGAGTCCATCCAGCTGCTGTTACAAGTACGCTAACTGTGAAAAAAACAAAACAGTATTCTCAAGTCGGGGTAGCAATATGATAGTTGAATCTCATTTCGCATTGATAAGAGTAAATCGCTCTATTTTATGTCGATACTTTAACAGTCGCATATCGGTACCCGAAGGGGACTAGTATTTGAAATACATTTTGAAAGGTGTGTGTGAAGGTACTGTGGACACGTTAAAATAATCAAATTTTGCTGTTTATATATTTCAACATTAATCCAAAATAACAGCATCATGATGAAATTTAACACATTTGTTTGAAATGTGCTGAATCAATTTGAAATAGCTATAACACAAAAAACTGATTCAGTAATATTTTTAATTTTACAAAAACATTGAAGGTAATATGCCCACATGCAGGTTTTATGGCCAAATTAAGTTGTTTTTTGTAGCATGATCATGAAACTAGGGCCAGATCTTCTCCTTTTATAATTTTTTTAAAATCATTAGAAGTCACTTGAAACACTTTAACTCACAAATACAACAGTGTTTACAAATTGATAATGGTGTGAGAGATCTTTCACAAAAATACATTTGTCTAATTTTAGAAAAAAATCAAACATTTTAGCAGTTTTTGAGAAATTATTGTTTTTGTTATTTTTTAAAATCGCACATATTGCACACAAAAAGCTCGAAAACTACTGAAAAAAAAAGAAAATTGCTTGACCTAATAAAAGATTTTACTATGGAGAACAAATTTTATTTCAAGGACAAATCTCTATCCTTAATTTTGTAATGGTAGGAAGACACCGAAAAAAATCATACTTTTCAAATTTTCGAAAATTCAGAGTTAACCGTGAAAATCGGACCTATTCCATTTTTACACGTATATCTTACTATGTTCTTACAAGCCGTTTTAAGAAAATTTTGAAAATGTTCAGGGGCCTTCATGTAAAATACCCCCAAATTTTAAAGGATGTTTTTCAAAATCTCAACGCTTCGACTCGAGCTAGATGGTATCTTTATTTTGGAAAACATCCTACGCTTGGTTTAGGCACTAATAATGTTCATAGACGGACGGACTGACAGACAGACGGACGTTTAAA